TAGTTCCGTATTAAAGTAGTTTAACTTGTCAGAGAAACAGGCTTAGTTATTTCCCTTGTAAAAAGCAGTGGCCTTGCCCTTGCTCTCTGAAGATGTTATTAAGAATATGCTTTTTAAAAAATAATGTGAAACAGGAAGTTAGAATAGCACTAGCTGTTGGTAACAGGGCACTTAATTATAAAGTTGTTTCATGGTGCCAGATGCTGCAAGACCTGGTTTGTTTGAAGGGTGAAACTTGTGCATTGCGTTTAACCAAACACGTGAATAAAGACTGCTAGACACTCCCGTGTTGTCTGCGCCTCAAGTTCAGCTTTGTTTCCAAATGAGACTTGAAGGCTGTTACTCAGTAAGTAGCGTTATGACAAACCTGTCGTAGACCAGCTAGGTATAGACAGCCCTGCCAGATGTGTAGTGTTAACGCTGTAAAGCACAGATGGGCAAGTGCAAATTTTTGTACTTGGCATTTATATACCTATATTTATTGTTGATATGAACTATCCAAGAATACTGTCGGACTTTTTGACCAGAGACATTTTCCTAAAGCTTTCAAAGAAAGTTGTTGGATAATGGGCCTAAGTTGGCTGACCCAGCACAAGCTCGTTCATTCCACGTGATATGTTATGGGTATTATAGACCTGCTGAGTTCAGGTTCTCCTCATTCACCTAGTCCGACTTCAGTTTCTCTGACATTTGCCTTGAGAGCTCAACTGAAGAGACAGGGTCTGCTCTCTGCCTGCCCTCAATGTAGGAGGACTTCGCGGTGTCAGGGTTAACCTAGCTGGCCCTAAGGTGCTAACAGCATTTTATTAGTAAACCAGTCATTATTAATTGAGTTAACATTCATTAAGTTACAGTGGAAACGGGTCACTCATGGGAATGACTGAAGTGACGTTGGGTGTTGTGATGTGAGCCTGATCTTCAGAACTTGAGGAGCTAGGTTGTCTTTTGAAGGAAACTACTTCTTTTGTGGGTAAACTCTTAAGAATTCTGATTTGAAACTCCTCGTAAGACTTGTAAAGCATTAGAAAAGGGTTCAAAGGGCAGATTTTCCTTGTGTGGAGATGATTAGATCATTTGGGTTATTGCATTCAAGAAACAGGTGTGTGCCCTGTGTGCGCAGTGCAGGTATAACTGAGCAAAAACAGTGCTTCCCATCGAGCACTGAGGGTGTGGTTCAGCGGCGCAGACCGGCTGTGGTCAGAGAGCGCTGCTTCTGTGTTGGTCTGTGTAAATCTTTTCTCTGACGCGGCAGATACTTCCTCAGTACCTACTCTACCTTAGATAATCTTCTAGGCCTGAGGGATAGAGTTGTGGACTAAACAGATTAAACTTCTGCACTCATAGAGTTTATGTTGTAATAGGGAGAGACAGACAAGAATTGTATTAGGTGGTGGCAATCTGGAGAAAAATTAAGCAGAGAAAGTGAGTATTTGTGTGGTACGGGGGGTGGGGGTTGCAGTTAAAACGAATGGATCAGAAAAACTCGACTGAGGCAGTGTAATTTGAGCAGAGACCTGAGGTAGGTGAAGGAACCAGCGGTGTGTGGGCAGGGAAGAGCACTGCGGGCCCTGCGGGGGGGTGCCTGTTGATGGGGGTCGGTGTTGGGGGGTTGGGCCGATTGTACGAGGGTTTAAGTTTTCACTCTGAATGAGGCAGGAGGCAGTAATTTTACTCAAAGTGGTGATACAACCTGACATTTTAAAAGCATCTTCAAGCAAATGCAAGAGGTCTGACTTCGAATGTAATTACCAGCCTTCCCACCAGCTGGACGTATGCATGACCTTGGGTGAGGCCCGTAACCCTCCTTGAAGGTGAGGTGTCATCTGTCACGGGGACATGGAGAGACGGTATTTCTTGGGCACTTTGTGAGACAGCCTTCTGTACGTATGAACTCACTGCTGCAGCAGACCTGTGATGTGTCAGTACTGTTAGCTCCCAGTTTCTACAGTGGAGGAAAGTGAGGCACAGAGGGGTAGCTTGCCTGTGCTCACACGGGGTGTGTCGTGCTGCAGGCTGCATTGAACAGGCAGTTTGACTCTTGAATTCATGCTCTTGACAGTATTCCTTAAAATCATTCTTGGGATCATCCCTGCAGCTCCTCAGTGGCATGGTGAGTAAATTTATCCAGTATCTGAACATTAATAACACTTATTTTTTGGGCACTTGGTTTGTGCTAGGCTCTTCTGAGCCTTGACATCTGTTCACCTGTGCGGTCCTCACCGCCCGCATTGGGGTTGGCACCACTGGTCTTAAACTTGCCTTTGGCTGCACAGCTAGTGAGCAGTGGGGTCAGGATCTGAACCTAAGTGGTCTGGCTCTGGAGACTTCACCACCCAGGCATCCTTTTTCTTGAGGGTACTTAGATGGTCTTTAGATTGAGTTTTAGCTTACTGATGAGAATTTTGTACTTTAAGCATTTAGATTTTATATCCCTGAAAATCATTCTCAGCCTCTAAGAAGGTTCTCCATATCTGTCTCCATATCTTGAATTAGCCTGGTTCCATTTTTCTCAAACTTTCCCCCTGTAAGTCAAGGTTCAGGAAAAGAGACACACACTCTCCTTCTGGGTTGTGGGCCGGAGAGTCCAGGGACCAGGATGGTTACGTCTTACAGCCTGTAAAAGAACAGAGTTGAAATGTCTTTGTATCTTCCTAAATCTGTGATTTCCTCCCTCCATAGTAGTCATGTTGGGTTTTGTTTGTTTGTTTAGTACAAAGATACTACACTTTTTCCAAGTCTTTGAGAAAACTTGATGATCCCAGAGCACTAGAGTACTTGTCCTGGGTCCTTACACCCCTTTAGAGAGAAGTCAGCCCGAACTAAAACCTGACTCAACCTGAACACAGCTTCCTCTGCAGCGCTCTCATGCTGTTTCCTTTCCCACAGTCCATAGTACCAGAAATGGACATTGGCCATCTGACACCCACAAATTCAGAGTTCTTTCTTTCCATGTGGTAGTTATATGTTCTCCACACCCTTTCACTGTGGTGACTAGTAACTTTCCAAGTGTATCTCCAGTGTGTTGTCCACACCCCCCCCCAGCCCCTTCCCTCCTAGTTTATTGAAGACTGAGACCTGGCTGGAGGACCATAATGGACCAGTATATTGCAGACAACCCAGCCAGCACCCCAAACTTACAGTTCCTGGGTGTCTGACTATTTCAGCCAGATCTTGGAATCTCGTACTATGTCTTTTCAGCTCCTGGAACCGGTCCACTTGAGGGCCTAACCTCCATTAGACCAGTTTCTTCCATATTTGACACCTGACAACACTGATCTGCTTTAGTTTGCTGTATTATGTAACTCTGCCTTCTGCACCGTTTTTCCTGTATCTGGAATACCCCTTTATCCTTCTGGTTAGTTTCTTATTCTCTAGGACAGTGTTATTTCTCCTTATTTTTTTAATCCATGTATCTTGTTGATAAACCATTTTTTCTCTCCCCTCAAAGTGCCTGCTGAACAAATAGCTTGGGTTTTTCCTGTCATCTCCTACGAGGTACCTTCCTTGACCACTTTGGGAATGATTTTAGGTGACGTCAGTGTTCCCATAATGAATGTTATTGCTCATGTCTTTGTCGTTGCAGTTCTCCAGTGTTTCATGTGACTTCCTTTTCCACTGGTCTGTAACTTCCTTGAGAGAGGCGAATGCTGGTCTTGTACAGTTTAGTTTCCCTGCTACCTTACTTAATGCCTACATTATGTGTGGGGGATTTTTTTTTTAATGTTAAAAGAGATTGAATAGATTCATTAATTCTTAACTTGCGAGGAGCTATTTGTAGTATATGTCACAAATAATAAACTTACTAAAAGTATAGGAATGTATAATTTGGAGGACTTGGACAAAATAATCCATTATCTTCTACCAAAAATAGTATGATGGCCTGAATCCAGATAATTTAAAGTCTGGTTTTGGTCTCACACTCTAGGACATGATGGTTTAGTATGGAGTGACTTTAATGGGGAAAGTTAAGTACTGCTTTATTGTAGCCTGCGTTTAACCTAGGATTACTGAACAGCAAGGATTTAGCAAAATAATTTGGAATCATAAACTCTAACTCAGCATAGTCCAAACATTTACGCACAGAAGCACCCTCTTTAGAGAGACTAAATAGTCTGCTGAACAAATATTTGGTTGAACCGTATGAAATTGCTGATGTTGGACTGTTGGCCTGCAAAAGACCCTTTGATATGTTTCAACGAAAACTAGGTTTGTTCAGCCTTATCCAAGGGGGATACCTTCCAAGACCCCCAGTGGACACCTGAGACCAGGGATAGTACCAAACCCTGTATGTACTGTTTTACCTATACGTACATGCCTGTGATAAAGTTTAATTTAAAAATAAATTAGGCATAGTGAGACATTAGCAACAATAACTAATAATAGAATAGTTACAACAATATACTGTAATAAAAGTTATATGACTGTGGTCTCTCTCTCTCTCAACATATCTTGCCCTACTGCACCTGCCCTCCTCCCCCTGAGGGTGTGAGAGAATAAAGTGTCTGTGATGAGCTTGGGGGGGGGGTGAGTGACGTGGCGTCGGGCTGCTGTTGGCCTGACCAGATGTCGGAAGGCTTGCCTGCTTCCAGTGACCCTGGGTTATCAGCCGTGATGATGTGGACTGTTGACCGTCAGGAGCAGACAGTGGCCATGGTGGGGGGTCCTGGGCAGGACGGTGCAGGATTTTATCACACTGCCCAGAACAGCACTGGATTTAAAATACGAATTGTTTATTCTGGAATTTTCCATTTAATGTTACTAGGATGTAACTGCGAGTAAAACAAAACCGTGGAGGGTGTGGGGAGTGGGGGGACTACTGTGCTGCATGGTGGCCAAGTGACCACTTAGCAAGCCTCGCGTCCTCACCCCGGACAGTTCACTTTGAAGTTTTAGCCCACGGGGTGTGTTCACACTGTCGGCATCAGCCCTCGGCCACCAGGGCCGGGCAGGGAGCGCTTGTTTTGGGTGTAGCTCAGTGTTGGCTCTGGAGATTTTTTTACACGTGTGTCTCTGAACTTTTAAGTGGAGAAAGAGATTCGTGTCTTAATATACGTCATTAATGTTTTGTGGAAAACCAGAGTGGGGGGCTTCGTTGGTATTGAGTTTGAGGGAAATGCTGGTTTAAAAACCAGGTCACTGAGTGACTGTTTAACAAAGTATTAACAGTCCACTGTACCTGGTTTGGATTTCCTTTTCCTATCAAGTATAATCATGTTAACCTCCCCCATTATGTATTTCCTCTAATGCTTTTGATGTTTGAGTTTAACCACTAGAAACTGAAGTTAAATCACTATTCATTTCAACTCACTTCTTGCCATATACCTTTGAAGTAAAATATTTCAGTGGCTAACTTCATGTGTTACATTGAGGTGTATTTTATCATTACTATTATTTTGATAAATGATGTGACTTTTAAATATGTTTGATAATTTATAGGGTAGAAGATGCTGATAATTCTGAAAAGAGTGTAAATGAAGAAAATGGAGAAGTATCAGAAGACCAATCTCAAAATAAGCACAGTCGTCACAAAAAAAAGAAGCATAAACACAGAAGTAAACATAAGAAACATAAACATTCCTCAGAAGAAGACAAGGATAAAAAACATAAACATAAGCATAAACACAAGAAACACAAAAGAAAAGAGGTTATCGATGCTTCCGACAAAGAAGGTATGTCTCCAGCAAAAAGAACTAAACTTGATGATTTAGCTTTGCTGGAAGACTTGGAGAAGCAGAGAGCCCTGATTAAAGCTGAACTTGATAATGAGCTGATGGAAGGGAAGGTGCAGTCTGGGATGGGGCTCATCTTACAGGGCTACGAGTCTGGCTCTGAAGAAGAGGGGGAGATTCACGAGAAGGCGCGGAACGGGAGCAGGCCCAGCACTAGGCCTTCCAGCACGAGAGGGAAGCTTGAACCTACGGACAATAAAAACAGCGCGAAAAAGCGAAGTAAAAGCAGATCCAAAGAACGGACTAGGCATAGGTCTGAGAAGAAGAGAAGTAAGGGAGGCGCTGAAACAGTCAAAGAGAAGACAACGAGGAGTAAGTCCAAGGAGAGGAGGAGGTCCAGAAGTCCCTCCAAAAGAAGCAAGTCTCAGGATCAAGCGAGAAAGTCGAAGTCTCCCGTCCTGAGAAGGCGCTCTCAGGAGAAGAGCGGGAAGGCCAGGTCGCCCGCCGACGACAAGGCCAGGGCTGAAGATAAAAGTAAGTCGAAAGATAGGAAAAAATCCCCAATTGTAAACGAAAGTAGGAGTCGTGACCGAGGCAAAAAATCTCGATCCCCAGTTGACTTGAGAGGTAAATCCAAAGACAGGAGGTCACGGTCCAAAGAGAGAAAATCGAAACGGTCTGAAACTGATAAAGAAAAGAAGCCAGTTAAATCTCCCTCTAAAGATGCTTCCTCTGGGAAGGAAAACAGGTCGCCCAGTAGGAGGCCTGGTCGCAGTCCTAAAAGAAGAAGTCTGTCTCCAAAACAGCGTGATAAAGCGAGAAGGAGCCGCTCTCCGCTCGTGAACGACAGGCGGTCCAAGCAGAGCAAGTCGCCCTCCCGAACTCTGTCTCCTGGACGGAGGGCCAAAAGCCGGTCCCTGGAGAGGAAGCGGAGGGAGCCTGAGAGGAGGCGCCTGTCTTCTCCAAGGTAACTCGGTGTCAGAGCCTTCGCGTTCCACCCGCGCCTCACGCTGGAAGGAGAAACTGGAGCCTGGGGCGGTGGAAGTGACGCTAGTGAGCTCTGTCGTGTTAGCACAATGCTGACGGTCGCCTGTAGTAATAGTTGCGGTTTTGTCAAGTGAGCATCTTGACTGGGGGTGATTTATAAATATTGAACTTGGTGACACAATTGGTTTTCTTTTTTTCCCCCCTAGGTCTTTAATTTAGTGTCTGATTTGCAGAATCACTCCCGTAAATCCAAGTAGTTTGGCTGAGAGAAGTCCGTGTGTACCCATTTATGGGAAGGGGAGGTCGTTTCTAGGGCCGGGATTGCTTGAATAGTATAGGCTGAAAATTTTACCTTTGAAAACAGAGGTATCAGTTTAAGGATTGTGGTCTGTCCATTCTTTTTGAATTGGTATGATTTTGAATTCTAACAACGTAAGTTGGAACTACAGATTTTTTTGGTCCCAAAAACATAATTGAAAGTGGAAATTTTTTTCTGTTACTAATTCATGTACTTGTAATCTTGTTGATGAGTTTAGGAAGAATAGTAGATGAAATGATTTTATTTTTTACCAGCAACAGTGAAAATTCATATTTATGGAATACATTTGCTCCATCATTTCTTTTCTCATAAATTGTCATGATTATTTCTCATGAGGTGGAGTGATTCTCACACTTAACTTTTTGGTCCATTTTCTCACTTAGAAATTATTTAGCTTACCTAGGACTGTAGAACCAATAAGTAAAGGAACAGAAGGGATTTTAGCAGGGAGGGGAGGGTCTCATTTAGACAATTTAAACTACTTTAGAAGCGTTTTTTTTAAAATATCTTTTATATTCAGTAGTTAGGCATGTGAAATTAGCAACCAGGTTGCACTCAAAAGAATACTGGCGTCTGCTGTGTAAAGATGTTACGGATTCCTGCTTTGCTGCTGCCTGCCAGTGCTTACTGTCTGCGGGTATTAATACAGTACGGGTGCAAGTAGGTATCCCCGGAAGTTTTAAATCGTTCTCATTTCTGAGAAGCTTCAAGAATACTGTTTTCAGAGTGCTCTGTCTTGAGATAGGCTTTACTTCTGAGTGTTCTGAAGAATTCTAGGATTCTTTACTCCTGTGTGACGTTGTAATGAAATGGCCCCCTGCCTTTAGTTTTCGGCGTGGAGACAGTGTTACTGAATTGTGTTTCCTCAGGATCCTGTTCAGAAGTTGCTTTCAATTTGAAAAGAAAATTCTGAGGAGTTTGTTAGGGACCAGAGTTGAATATTTGAAACCAGTTTCTTTTTAGTTACGGAATAGATATGTGCTAATTAAAGAGAAATTTAAATTGTCCTAGAAGCCTGTGAAGTCTCTCCCTCTCTCCCCCACTACCACTCCTAAGAAAGCTGTTTGTTTCTAGCCCTTTTTCTGTGCACGTACAATTGTATGTGTATGTTTTTTCTTACAAAAATGGAATCACACCATTTATGTTAACAGTGACTTTCTTTTTCATGAAACACACCTTTGCAGTGCATAAAGATAATTTTTAATTCTTTATCTAACAGCAAAATGATTGTTCACAGTGCAGATGTACCTAATGTATTTAATCAGTCCCTTGTTGAAACTGATGAGGATTGGGGCTGGTTCCAGTTTTTCGTGATTATATGCAAAAATGTCCATTGATTATGTGTGAAGTTTCTTTGTAGCATAGATTCATAGAGTGGAATTTGGTCTGAGGTTACATTCATTACGTTTTAGGAAGTTACTGCCAGTATTTACTTCCATGCCTAGATTGACTGTCCTTTTCTCTGAACCCTCACTTACAGTTCTCTGTTCAGAGACTGATGTTGATTATGCTGCTTTTATTCTTAGTTGATATATTAGAAATAAAACTCTTAGTTGCAAAAATGTTAAAAATTTAGAAAGAAACATCTTCAAACCAAGGGAATGGAATATTATTACTCACTTGGGCACATTTTATTTGAGTTGTTTATCTGAAATTAGAATCAGTGGCTCTACCAATATAAATAATCTTTAATAATTCTTCAAATTTTGAGACCAGAGAAAACAGACCTTCTATTGTATGTGTGCTGTGTCACCAAAATGCCATTTCATTTTGTTGCAAAGTGCACCCGTCTGTGCCTACTGTCTTTAGGTTAGTGCACCCTTCCTGAAGGTGTTCTCGACATGTGGGGGAGATCGTTTATTCTGATTTGATTTATTCTTCCCTGAACTTGTCATTTGGTCCTCTTAAGAACACGACCTCGAGATGACATCCTCAGTAGACGGGAAAGGTCGAAGGATGCCAGCCCAATCAGTAGGTGGTCTCCAGCCCGAAGAAGAGCAAGCAGGTCTCCCGTCAGAAGGAGGTCTCGCTCCCCGCTCCGGCGCAGCCGGTCTCCCCGAAGAAGAAGCAGGTCTCCTCGGAGAAGGTAGATCCCTTAAACATGTGTTACCTGTGTGATCCATGCAGCTTGGAATGTTTTTGAAACTCCATGTTAAAGACCATTTTTCTCTGAAACGTAGCTGTGACCCCATATAGTTTCCTATTACCAACAAGTGATATTTCACACACACTGATTTTTCTTTAATATAATTTTCCCTCAAATTTAAGTAAGTCGGTGTTCATTAGGAACTCAGTCTTTTTTAAGAGTTGGACATTTTTTCTCTGCTTTTCAAGAGGTAAATTCTGACGGAGCTAGGTTCAGGATTTTTCTTTTAATAGCAGGATAGATCACAGAAAGTAAGTATCCTGTCGTTTCATAATTGCAGCTCTGTGCTGATTGTCCTGTGAACTTGGGTTTGGTCCTCTGAGAGCACCAGGTGGAGACGATGACCTCAGTAGCCGTGAAAGACTTTGGGCAAAGACCCCTTTAACTCACAGCAGTAGAAACCCTCCATGTGAAGCATGTGGAGCCAGCAGTTGGTTAGTCAAAAATGTTTTTTAAAGCAGGGAATCATTCTGAAAATCCATATACACATTAAATATTTTGACCTAAAGCATAAGTAGACAGACGTTCATTTGCCAGTCTTTATCATTTTTAATTAAACTAGTGCATGAATATAGTTTTGAAACACAGCATACGAAAGGCTCATGTTGAACCAGTGGATATATCTTTATGTATCTCAGAATTTTTGCATACTAGATTCTCAGAAGTAGAAATGCTTTGTCTGAGAGTGTGTGTGTGAATTTTTTGAAGTTACTGCCGCATGCATTGCTTTCCTGTTTTGGAGGATCCTGTTTTTTTTTAATACCATCCCTCGCACATTTCTGCCTGATATCATCACATTTGCAGACGCACGTGCTCATTGTTCATGCAGTCATTGTGATCACCTGCGTTTCGTTCGTTGCTGAGCAAGTCGTCGGGAGCAGAGGGGACCAGAGGGCCTTCCTTCCCGGCTCGCGGCCTCCAGCCCAGGCTGACCAGTGGGCCGGCTTAGACGGTTGTCGCTGTAGGGCTTGCTTCCCCTTTTCCCTAGTCCTCGTTGCTGTTGTCACTCCGCTTCCTGCGTCCAGGGTCTTCCTGCGGTACCTCCTTGCTCTGGTAGTGCCTCTCCGGTATCTTCTTGAGCAAAGTGCACGGGAAGGACATCTGGGGGGACCTGCACATCATTCTCCTTGCTGATTTGTCAAGGAATAGAATTCTAGGTTGAAATCATTATTTGAAAGTTTTAAATTGTTACCCCGCTGAGTTCTTTCTTTCCGTCATTGCCGTTGGGAAGTCCTCCTCTGCTACCTGGGCGTCTCTGTAGGCCTCTCTTCTCTTTCTCTGCACGAAGTGTCCTGTGTTCTGAAGTTGCACTGCGGTGTGTCTTGACGTGTGACTGCTGCTTCCCCTTCCTTTTGCTGGCGCTGCTCGGGCCCCTCGGAGCAGGGCGACCGCGGCCGCCTGTTCTGGGAGCTCTTCTCTCGCTTGTGTTGTGTTGCTCGCTGTCTCCCCGGTTCCTTTCTCTTTTCCCCAGTGGGACCTCGTGTGCTGCTCACTGACTCCCCCTCACTCATCTGCTTGTCCTTTTGTTCTACTTTCAGTCTTGAGAGGTTTTCTTCTTCTATCCGCTTACTCTTCTGTTGATTTTTTTCCCTCTGTGCTCATAATTTTTTAAATTTCCAGGACCTTGTTGGCTATTTTTCAATAACATTTTACTCTTGCTTTATAAGAAATAACATCTCTTATGTCAAAGATGATAACGAGTTTATTTTGTGGAGTTTTTGCTCTTTATAGTTTTTCTCTCACCTGTGTGGTTTCTTCCCAGATTCCTTTTGCTGCTTGTTCACTGTTTCCTTTGAAGACTGTCCTCCAACAGCAGGCTCTTTCCTTGTTGTCTGTTCTGATTTAAAAGTCAGGCGCTGAGAAAGCCGACTGGAGCTTGCTTCCATCTGACAGCCTAGAGCTTGAGGGCTGGTGGAGGACTGGCGCGTCGGTGACTGCGGGTCTTGTCTTTGGGCTGGTGGGTTTTCCCGTCCTCCCCTCCTGCTCGTGAGTAACACACGGCTGCCAGCGGGGCTGGTCTCTTTCCCGCGCCTCCTGGTACTCAGGCCCGTGTTACAGCCGCCATCTCTCTGTCAAGCGAATGTTGAGTATCCTGCCAGAGCGTGAAAGGGGAGCTGGCGCTTTCCACTGTGTCAGAAAGGGGACAATGCCACGCCGAGCTGTCCCTCGAGGGTGTGAGCAGTTCTCTCAGCTTCTCCCTCCCTCCCACCCTGCAGAGGACGCGGTGCCCCCGGCTCTGGGCTCTTAGTTCCCTTGTCCGTCCCCGTTGGACCACGGCTCAGATTTCATTGCTACTACTTCTCTGTCCAGTTTGCACATGTCAAGATTTTGTTGGCATCTCTTGTCACATCTCTTTACATTCTCTGTGGCTGAGCATTTTATTTTTCCATCATCCCTTTCACTGTTGTTTTAGTGAGGTTTCAGAAGAACTGAGATGAACGTGCTCAGACATGACATTTATTAGCAGGGAGTTGGGGCCCACTGCAGGCTCCCGGCCTTCTCCGCTTAGTCCCACAGCGTCTTTCTAACACCAACGCCCTCTTCAGGCTTGAACTCCAATGCCAGTTCCTGTCTGTTTAACAGCAGGCGCGGCCTTTATGCGTTTGTAATGGTGTCTGAGGGCTGTGTTAGACCTGGAATTTTTGTCAAAGACTTTGTCTTTCCCGTACCTTAGCAGTGATCTTTTTTAAAGCTAGGCTTATTGAAGCATATCATTTACATAAAGTAAAATTCACCCTTGTTTGGGTAGAGTTGTGAGTTTTGGCAGATACACCTAGTCACATAAGATACAAAACATTTCCATTGCCCCTCCAGGTTCCCTGGTGCCTCAGCAGGCAGTCAGAACAGTAGCTGAATTTTAGTTATCTTTAGTTAAGCTGATTATTCCAGTCTTACTATGTTAATTTTACTTTAAAATTTTAACTTACTTTTTTTACAGGACTTTTTAGTTTTGGGTTCATAGCAAAATTAAGCTTTTGAAAAGTACATTGAGTTCCTGTAACACCCCTAGCCCGAACACACTCGCAGCCTGTCTGACTACTCGAACCGGTAAAAAAAAAAAAAAAAACACACGTGTCTTCTCCTCAAATAGGGACCGAGGTCGGAGAAGCAGATCACGCTTGAGAAGGCGGTCTCGATCTCGGGGGGGTCGTAGGCGCAGGAGCAGAAGCAAAGTGAAGGAGGATAAGTTTAAAGGAAGTCTTTCCGAAGGAATGAAAGTGGAACAGGAATCTTCATCTGATGATAAGTAAGAATGAAACTTCCCATAATTCCCTTTTTCCAATTTAGAGAAACACTTTGACTTGGAAATCTTTCATTTCCGCCTGAATGTTTTAAGCAAATCCATCAACGTGGTCTCACATTTAAGTTAATCTTCGTGCGTACTTTATGGGTTACGTGGTGGGTTGTGGTATCTGAACACAGGTCTCAGTTTGGCTGGAGTGGGTGTCGGGCCATTGCTGCGTCACGAGCCTTCCCTGCTTTATTTTCAGCAGGAACCACCAGTGTATTAGACAGTCCTGCCAGTCTTAGTTACCGGTTTGGGGGTGCGATTTGTATACTAAGTGTTTTATGTAAAATGATACATACTTTGCAGTTGAGGCCAGCTGGTGCAGATATACCTGTTAGATTGTGGAAAATGCAGAAATATTTGTGTCTAATAAAAGTGGGGAAAATTTTTTAATGCAAACTTAGTTGTCTGAATGGAACATCTTAAATAATACTAATTTAGAGCAGTGGGTCTCAACTGAGGGTGATTTGCCTTCCCGGGGACTTTTTGACAATGTCTAAAGACATTTTTATTTGTTACCTGGTGGCTGGAGGCCAGGCCTTCTGTGTCTTCCAGTGCACAGACGACCCCCACAGCGAAGCGATGGCCAAGCGTCACAGTGCCGAGGGGAGAGGCCCTGGTTAGAGCTAGGTGATGAGGAAGTTGCGGGGGTGGCACGTGTGGATCTGATACCTTCAGAGCTCGGGTCCTGGGAAAGGCTGTGCTGGGAGGGAGCGTAAGGCCCGTGGGGGGCTGGGCTGGTCAGGGGCGGGGCTCAGCGGTAGACCGCTTGCCCTTCAGATCATGTGTGACTGTCTATGCGTGCATTTTTGGTGGGGAAGGATCTCTAGCTTTCGCAGGCCCCTGTGACCCAGAAAACGTACCAATTCACATCTCTTTCCCAGCCCTCTCTAGGAGTGAGAAAAGGGGCTGGAGAGGGGAAGTGCCTTTACCGCATGGCACAGCTAGTGGTGACGTTTTTAAACTTCAGGATGTTTCTTTTGTTCCCTGTTTGGTGCCGCGAAACAGGTGAGGAGGTTACGTTACCTGCCAGGGCTCCAAACCAGGACCGTTGAGAAGCAGGGACAGAATAAGGCGGTTAAGGCTTGCTCAGACTCACTGATGGCCTGCGTTTTTCAGCTCTTTTAAATGCACGAGTTACGGTTTTGGAATCTCTAAGGATGTTTGGAATTAACTGCGTGTGCGTGTGTGGTTTTCCTAAGCCTCGAGGACTTCGACGTGGAGGAGGAAGATGAGGAAGCCCTGATAGAGCAGAGGAGGATACAGAGGCAGGCGATCGTTCAGGTGCGTGACTTTAGTAACAGTTTGATCAACATTCCTTAAATAATCACTGTTTTAACAAAATAAAGGTTTTTACTTTAACGAAGAAGTGACCGTAGTAGCAATTGAACAGGCCTTGGAAGTATATGTAAACTTGTGAGATTTGAAAAGATGACAGTTTCTTCATAAAATTAAAATAGGCGTCCTTGTTACACATAAACGGGACTCGGATGGAACCTCCTGTGTAAGACAGAATGGGAGCTTTGTTTTTTCCTTTTTTTTTTTTTTAAAGTTGGTGAACAGGAAAACCATCATAAATGAGTACAAGTTGGAGGAATTTCATTTGGCAAAAACATACCCTATTAATATGTGGGAAAAATTTTTAATGCCTAATGAGATGGATTTTCTGATATAAATGTGATTATTTAAGTTGAACATCTCAAGAATAGTTTGAAGGCTGCTCGAGAGCCAAGAGACGGGGAAAGGGGGGGGGGTGTCACGCGCAGGCCTTACTGAGAAGGCGGGCCGCCTCCGAGGGCTGCCAGTTCTCCTTGGCCGTCCTCAAATGAAGCCTGGCCACTCGGTCCTTGGAGGGCGGCAGTCCCTGCAGAGGGCCTTCTCACCATCAGTGATGGAAGGTGAGTGGTGGGGTTGAGGGGAAGAACAGCTCGCCCAAACATACACAGCAAACCATGAATCCGGTGACAGTGTCTTAGAGCAAAGGAAAGGCCTGGAACCACCGGAGTACGGGGGGCATGGCTGGAACTCCAGGGGAGCCACGCCTTTCTGGGGCACTGGTGAACCTTACTGAACCAGTAGCCCTGAAGACTTGGTTGAATCTTTTTGTTCTGAGCCAGGCCCATAATCCCTTATCTCCAACCTTGGGGCCAGCTGTGCTTCAGAACTCAGAAGTATTTGCATTTTAGCGGGTGATGTGGTTCATGCATGTGCATCACGTAGCCCCATCGTCGGGCATGCTGAGTGTTCCCGCGGCGAGGCATACTGTGTTCGCATGGGGGAGGCACGGAAGACTTCAGGGCCTCGCATCTGTTCAGGTCAGGTTTCGGCACTTTGTGAATATGCACCAAACAAAGAAAATAGTACTTAAGAGTTTTGTGGATTTGAAATTACATATAAGGGATTGTGGGGCTAATTCAGTTAAGACGTGGATACCTTTAAAGTTTGTTGACATTATCTGACACTTCATGTTTCAATGCAGCACCTCTTAGCAAATATATTC